TGAGGAAGAAACAACATATCATAATATTCAACGCACTTTACAATCCCAACCCTTGGATGCCTTGAAACCATCAAATCCCAACTATGGAGACGCTCAATTCGGTAGAAAATAGATTAAATCAGGATCATCGCATACCCCCATTAAAGTGGGATTATTTGGGATTCTCGAGAGGTCCCGTAGGCTGAGAACTAGGATTTTCCCTCTTCCAAAGAAGGCCTGTCAAACCCTCAGATTTAGGAGAAAGTAATTTTGGTAAGGCTTTACATATAACAAGCTCGTATGTATTACAAGTGAACCCCAATCTGACTCAACAAGGCATAATAAAGCGGCTCAATTGGATAGTAGAACAGCGAGGTCCCTGCCAACCGTAGTGACCCAGAACAAAACCCCGTCTCGTGAATCCCAACAGAAAGTGTAGACCCTAAGCTCAAAACCGAAAAACCGAAAAGCTTAAGCCCTGGTCCTTTTTACCTCAGACCCTGAATTCCTATCAACCATGTGAGCTTTATAATCCATGCCATGGACAATTTGGAGGGGTCCTGTCGCGTTTGGGGGTTTTGGCGTAGGATGCCACGAAAGGTACCGCTTTTAGGGGGTTCAGCCAAAACACAATCATGGCTACGTCTTAGATTGAGGGGTGTCGCTTTTAAGCAGGGGTCCTAGCTTTTCGGGCTTTATACGCGATTCCTACATCTCACGGCATCCCTCTCTTCGTGCCTAATAATACGCGAGTATTGACCATTGCTCATGTAGCCCCAGAAGACTTAAATTTCCCAGGCCGCCTTCAAGTCATTGTCGGCAGCTGCGCGAAGATGAGATCCCCTTGGAGGTCAGGCTTAGATAAAGATATCCCATAATGTTTGTTTACCGTATGCTCTCTAAAGATTTGAGGTCTGCGCAATTTCGCAGAGGAATTGTAAAGATCGATAGTCTCCTGGATCTTCTTGCCTGCCTTTGTGATAGCCTTGGGAGGTGAGATGCGTCTACGACTAATGGGTAAGAATGCTGGGGATTCAAGATTTCTCTGAGGGTAGGGCAGCTTTGGCTTTTGAGGTCGTAGCCCGAAGTTCGGAATCAGCACTCTTGCCTTCATCCTTGTCTTTCTTGCTTTTCTTGCTCTTCTTGACCTTCTTGGCCTTCAAAGGAATGGTTGATGGTGATAAGGCTCAGGTTTCAGAATTTCGGGTGAGGGTATTAGCACGCATGAGATTTAGCAAACGTACCTTTTTATTCTTCTTCTCCTTGTTTGATCCTTTCTTGGTCTTCTTCTTCTTCCCTGAGTCCGAAGAAGAGTCTGAGCTCGAAGAGTCCGGAGCCTCCGCCACTTTGTAAAGCATGGACATAATCTCCTCTTCCTTCTCTACTTGAACTTCTGAGTCAAGGCAAAGGAACTGCATCAACTCCAGACTGTCTGGCAAATCAGGATGCTTCTTGACTTCGCTGGTACACAAAGTCGGGTCCTGCAATTTGCGCAGAATGATGGCTTCTGCATTGTCCTCTCCATGGCGGGACGTGAGTTCACTCTTCGTCATCCAACGCCTGACACCCTTTCGGACACTGCTGCTTGTCGACTTGCAATTGATGTAAAGACTGCTTTTGGACCATTCTCCTCCGCAGCCTAGCCAGGCCTCGAAGAGCACACTGTTGCGCTCCGAGTCTTAGTTCCCAGTACATAACATGAAGATTCTGGGTCATTGCATGCACCAGCTTCAACTTCAAGATTGCTTATCATTCCAGCAGAAGTAATCTCTATTAGAGGGAGCTAGTTTGAGATGAGACATTCAAATTGAACGCTTAAGTAATACGAAAGAATCAATTCGTGGAGATAATTTCGCGGAAGCACCATACTCTTACTCCAAGCAACCTCCCTTTGACGCTGCAGCCATCCGTCGGATCTCGACCGGCGTTCTTTTGGATTCTTAGTTTTGCTTCATCATCAGAATTCTCGATGCAACCACAAAAAGTGTAATATGGAAATCAGTTGAGATCCCGACCATGCACAGATCTGAAGTAGCGCATGTACCTGGCATGCGCTGCCAACTTCTTCTTCTTTAGCTCTTCCAACTTCTCTTTTGACTTGTCATTCTTGTCGCCCTCCTGTCCTTTCTCCTCCGCTGGTCCTTTTCCTGCGTCCTTGTTCGTTCCCTCTAGTTTCTCTGTCGTTTCTGCCTTCTCTAAGCTTGTAGATGGGGTTGCGCTTGTCGCAGGAGATGGGCCAGGGGATGTAGACGATGGGGACACCTGAGCCTCCTTTAACGGGGTTTTGGCTTCATCAAATTTCGGAGCAAGGTTCTGGGGATTCTGGGCTTCCTTTTCCATTGTTGTCAGCCTCTGGAGAGCAACCATCATTTCAGAGTCCAGGCTAGAAGCCTTGCGGTTGATTCTCTCGCTGGGAGTGGTAGGGGCTACAGGTGCTAGGGCCTGTTCTGGGGGCACGTCGAAGGATTCATTGCTCTCTGCACCGAGTGCGCCAAGAGCCGGTTGAAGCCGCTTCCCATGTGGCCCAGTCATGCTTGCTGCCTAGCCCCCAGCTCCAATCTCGTTGGCCGTACCAATAGCCGGAATTATGATTCCACCAATTGTCGGTCCAATCCCAGTGGTCAGACCCTTTCTCTGTCTGACTGGGCTGCGGCGGCGCAAGGTTTTCCCCATCCTTCTGATCAACGCTGTTGCTTTCATCCTTTGACCCTACGCCTTTACCCAAACTCTTGTCAGGTTTGACTGCACCTGCTTGCTCAGTCTGAGGCTTCAGGTCTTCGAGAGGCTTCTGTAGGGGCTTCACTTGCTTTGCTTTCACACCTCCTTTGCCTGAGTTCTTCTCGGGGGACTCCTGAATGCGCATTTTATATTGAATCCATGACAAGTCATTCAGAAGCCTGCCTCCGAACCATCAATGAGGGTGACTTGGGAGTCGGGGCTGTGACCTGGGAACGGGAATGGAGATTCAGGGGTCGAATGATGCTGAGGGTTGTAAGGTTCGAAACTTAGGCTCAAACGCAGGTTTCGCATAAGGTCAGGCCTCAGGAATTTCGTGAGCGGCGTAAGACATGATCGCTTCAATATGAAAGAATGAGGCCCTGGCTTTGTAGTAGAGGAGACAGCTAGACTGCCAACAACCTTCTGGACCTTTACACTTCGTTCCCGGGCCCTGGCCTGAACTTGGTCAAGGATCCTTTTGGAGTTGGCATTCATCTCTACACACAGCAACACAAAGCTTTAAACAAGCTGAAACAGCTGCAGTTTGCAACAATTAGTTCCACTTTCAGAACAATCACGCAATAGACATGTTTGCGAGCATGAGAGACCATCCGGTTTCAGGGTTATTTTTGGGGGGCCCAAATCACGGTAATTTCACGGGTATTGGGGGTCTTGTCACGGTAAATGGGGT